ACAGCCAGTGCCAAGGCCCTAAAGCAGGGATGGATTGGGGAAGAGACCAGCTCTAAAGCACCTTATAATGTATTTATGGCACATCTGCTCCTCCTTATCAGAGCTGGGGGAAGATCTAAGGACACAGGGAGGGGAGCATCACACACTGGGGTCTGTTGGCGGGGGACAGGGGGAGGGACAGTAGGGGGTAGGGAGTTGGGGAAGGATAACATGGGGAAAAATGCCAGATACAGGTGATGGGTATGGGGGGAGCAGCAAACCACATTGCCAGGTATGTACCTATGCAACAATCCTGCATGTTCTTCACATGTATCCCAGAACTTAAAGTGCAATAAAATATTTTTAAAAAATAAAAAATAAAAAATAAAATAAAATAAAGATGGATCTGTAGCTTTTGAGAGGCAGGCCTTCTAAAGACCATCAGCAGTCCTTTCATTTCTCCCTGTTATCTTGCAGATGAACTCAATTTTGCCATGACATTCAATCAGGATGGTTTGCTCAGCTTCCCTCAGAACTTGACTCATTTCAAAATCCTAAATGGGTTTTCTCCCTTTCCCATGTTTCTCATTCTTTCTATACCTCCATACAATGTGGGGCCTAATTTTATGAACTAGAGAATTTTTTTTTTTTTTTTTTTTTTTTAATTTGAATGGGATGACTTATGACTTAGTGGAAATTTTTTTTTTTTTTTTTTTTTTTTTTACTGACACCTTTTGTGTTTTAATAATTTTACTATTTCTGCATTTCTCTTTCTTTATAGACTACCTTTTTCTGTTATTTTATTTTATTTTTTTTCTTTTTTTTTTTATTGCATTTTAGGTTTTGGGGTACATGTGATGAACATGCAAGACTGTTGCATAGGTACACACATGGCAGTGTGCTTTGCTGCCTTCCGTCCCCTCACCTGTATCTGTCATTTCTCCCCATGCTATCTCTTCCCACCTCCCCACCCCCCGCCCCTCCCCCATTTCCCCCCAACGGACCCCAGTGTGTAGTGCTCCCCTCCCTGTGTCCATGTGTTCTCATTGTTCAACACCCGCCTATGAGCGAGAATATATGGTGTTTGATTTTCTGCTCTTGTGTCAGTTTGCTGAGAATGATGGTTTCCAGGTTCATCCATGTCCCTATAAAGGACGTGAACTCATCGTTTTTGATGGCTGCATAATATTCCATGGTGTATATGTTACTTTTTAATTTAAGAAAATGTCATAATGTAGCTTTTCTAATGCTTCAGAATCATATTCAGAAACAAAACATTGTGCATATACAAGAGGTAGCAAGTCAATTTATTTATTATTATTAACAGTCTAGAAGGAACATATTTTCAGAAGAATAGGTGTCAATGTGTTCTGTGATTCCCTTTTTGCTTTTTTCTCTCTCTTAGAAGCAGTTGGTGATTCTTGGAAAATCATCTGTTTTTAGGGAAACTCATATTAAAAGGAAATTACATTATGTTGCTTTAATACCAGAGTCCTTAACACATTTGTCTTTTTCCCTATCTACATTCAAAATGAACTGTTTTAAAATCTGCTTGTAACTTCATGGTACAGTCAATTACACACCTCAAAATCCTTTTTGATTGTCAGTTAATTTTATATCCCTAGGCCAATATAATAAAAGCAATCTCCAAGGGGTGCATCTAATTATAATGTCTCTGAGAGCTGGCTGTTCTGGACTAAATGTGACTAGTGAAACTCGAGTTGACCTCTCATATGCACTCAGAGGAGGCAAAATATCAACATACCAGCTGGTAAGGGGGAGAGGGTGCAATGAAAATAATAGTTAATTGGAAAGTTGGAGGCATGCTTGAGGACTATCTCCAATTAACATCTGATGGTTTTAGAGAGAAGCTTAATATCTCTAAGTGTCATGTTTTGCTTTTGTGAAATAGAATTAATACTACCTCTGTAACATGTCCCAAGATACACAATTACACATGACATGTGAACTTTACCCCAAGACACACAATTACATATGACATGTGAAAGTCCTCTTCAATGTCTGTATGTGGGAAGGCAGCATGACCTAATGTTATTCTTCACTTTACTGTTATTATTCCTCACCTATTATTTCTCAACTTATAGTTGAAACCCAAGGCAAGATGACTTCAGTAGTGAATTCTGCCTAACATTTATAAAAGAATTAGCACGAGTCCTCTCCAATCTCATCCAAAAAATGAAGAATACTTCCAAACTCGTTGTATGTGACCGGCATTACACTAATCCCAAAGTCAAAGACACTATGGAGAAAGAAAACTAGAGACCAATATTGAATATTGATGCAAAAATTCTCAACAAAATACTAGCAAACCAAACTCAATAGCACCTGAGAAGGAATATACACCATAACAAGTAGAATTTATTCCTGGAATGCAAAGATGATTCAATATATGATAATTAATAAATGTAATACACCACATTAACAAAATTAAGAAAAAAACAATATGATCATTTCAACTGATACAGAAATAGCATTTGACAAAATTTATCAGCTTTTCATGATGAAAACACTCAACAAACTAAAAACAAAATTACCTCAACATAATAAAGGCCATGTACAAAGTGTCCACAGCTAATATCATACTCAATAGTGGAAGAATGAAAGCTTTCCTTCTGAGATCAGAACAAAACAAAGATATCCACTTTCACCACTTCTATTTAGCACAGTCCTAGAGGTCTAGCCAGGGCAAATAGACAAGAAAAGGAATGAAAAGACATCCTAATTGGAAAGAAAAAAGTGAAATAATCTCTGCTTGTAGATAACATAATCCACTATGTAGAAAATCCTAAATATTCCACAAAAACTGTTACAATTATCAAACGAATTTGGCAAAGTTACAGAACACAAAATCAACATTCAAAAATCTGTTGCATTTCTATACACTATCAATGAGAAATACAAAAAAGGAAATTAAGAAAACAATTACAGTAGTATCAAAAGGAATAAAATACTTAAGAATAAACTTAGCCAAGGTAACAAAAGACTTGTACTCTGCAAACTATAATATGATTATGAAAGAAATTAAAGACACAAATAAATGAAAATAAATACCACCTTCAAGGTTTGGAAGGCTTAATATTGTTAAGATGTCAATACTACCCATAGTAAACTACAGTTTTAATGCAATCCTTATCAAAATTTCAATGGCACTATGGTATTTATTTTTAAAATAGGAATATGTATCCTAACATTTGTAGGAAACTTCAATGTACCCCAAATAAACAAAATAATCTTGAAAAAGAACAAAGTTGGAAGTCTCACACTTCCTGACTTCAAAACTTATAACTAAGCTATAGTAGTAATCAAAACATTGTGGTAGGGCATAAACACAAATATATGGCCAATGGAATTGAATAGAAAGCCCAGAAATAAACTCTCAAATGTACAAACAAATAAATGCTATTAAGCAAGGGTGCCAAGACTACCCAATACAGACGAGATGGTCTCTTCATCAAATGGTATTGAGATAACTGTATAACTGTAGGCAAAAGAACAAAGTTGGGCTCTTATTTTATACCATATACAAAATTAAACCCAAATGGATTAAAGGCTTAAATATAAAACCTAAAGTTATAAAACTCCTAGAAGAAAGCACACAAAAAAGTTTCAAGACACTGGATTTTGCTACAATTTCTTGGATATAACCAACAGCACAGACAACTAAAGCAAAAATACACAATGGGATTACATCAAATTTAAAGACTTATGCATATCAAATGAAACAGTCAGTTAGCAGAGTTAAAGGGCAACCTATGGAATAGGAGAAAATACTTGTAAATCATGTATCTAACAAGGCATTAACATCCAGGGTATATTAAAAAACAACAACAACAACAACACCTACAACTCATAACAAAAGAACAAAAAACCTGATTAAAAAATTGGCCAAGGACTTTAATACATTTCTCCAAAAGATAATGTATAAATAACTGATCAACAAGCATATGTAAAGATTCTTAAAATCACTAATCATTACAAAAATGCAAATCAAAACTACAATGAGATATCTATCATTTCATATATATAACTAACGTAAACAAACAAAAAGAAAAAAGAACAATAAGTGTTGATGAAGATGTGGAGAAACTGGAACCCTTATAACTAACTAATGGTAGGAGTGTAAAATGGTACAGCTGCTTTGGAAAACAGTGTGGTTGTTTCTCAAAAACATAAAAATAGAATTACTATGCAATCCAGCAAGCCAACTTCTGGGTATATATCTCCAAAAGAATTGAAAGTAGGATCTCAAAGAGGTAGTTGCATACCCATGTTCACAACAGTCACGGGGTGGAAGCAACTCAAATGTCCGTCAGTGGATGACAGGATAAACAAAATGGGGTCGATACATACAATGGAGTTAGTCAGCCTTAAAAAGATAGGATATTCTGACACATGATACAACATGGATGAACCTTGATGATATGATGCTAAGTGAAATAAGCCAGTCACAGAATACCAAACACTATATGATTCCATGGATATGATGTACCTAGAGTAGTGAAGTTCATAGAGACATAAAGTAGCATAGTGGTTTCCAGGAGCTGGGGACTGAGGGAAATTGAAAGTTGTTGTTTAATGAACACAGAGTTTCAGTTTTGCAAAAGAAAAAGAGTTCTCAAGATTGGTAGGACAAGTATGTGAATATAATAATACTGCTGTACTATTCACTTTTTTTTTTTTTTTTTTTTTTGAAACAGAGTTTCGCTCTTGTTACCCAGGCTGGAGTGCAATGGCGCGATCTCGGCTCACTGCAACCTCCGCCTCCTGGGTTCAGGCAATTCTCCTGCCTCAGCCTCCTGAGTAGCTGGGATTACAGGCATGCACCACCACGCCCAGCTAATTTTTTGTATTTTTAGTAGAGACGGGGTTTCACCATGTTGACCAGGATGGTCTCGATCTCTTGACCTCGTGATCCACCCGCCTCGGCCTCCCAAAGTGCTGGGATTACAGGCGTGAGCCACCGCGCCCAGCCCTATTCACTTTTAAAAAGTATCTTAGGCATGCTCACTTCAGCAGCACATATACTAAAGTTGGAAAGATACAGAGAAGATTAACATGGCCCCTGAGCAAGAATGACAGACACATTTGTGAAGTGTTCCATATTTTTGTCACCAGCAGGCCTGCCTTACAAGACCTCCTGAAGGAAGCACTAAACATGAAAAGGAACAACTGGTACCAGCCACTGCAAAAATACGCCGAAGTGTAAAGACCATCAACACTATGAAGAAACTGCATCAATAATGGGCAAAATAACCAGGTAGCATCATAATCACAGGATCAGATTCACACATAACAATATTAACCTTAAAGGTAAATGGGCTAAATGCCCCAATTAAAAGACACAGACTGACAAATTGGATAGAGTCAAGACCCATCAACGTACTGTATTCTGGAGAGCCATCTCACGTGTAAAGACAAACATAGGCTCAAAATAAAGGGATGGAGGAATGTTTACCACGCAAATAGAAAGCAAAAAAATTTTTTAAAAAAGCAGGGATTGCAATCCTAGTCTCTGACAAAACAGACTTTAAACCAACGACAATCAAGAGAGAGAATGAAGGCATTACATAATGGTAAAGGGATCAATGCAACGAGAAGATCTAACTATCCTAAATATATCTGCACCCAATACAGGAGCACCCAGATTCATAAAGCAAGTTCTCAGAGATCTACAAAGAGATGTAGACTCGCACAAAATAATATTGGGAGACTTTAACACCCCACCGTCAATGTTAGACAGATCAATGAGACAGAAAAATCACAAAGATATCCAGGACTTGAATTCAGCTCTGGACTGAGCGGACCTAACAGACATCTACAGAACTCTCCACTCCAAATCAACAGAATATATATTCTTCTCGGCACCACATCACATTTATTCTAAAATTGATCACATAATTGGAAGTTAAAACACTCCTCAGCAAATGCAAAAGAATGGAAATCATAACCCTCTCAGACCACAGTGAAATCAAATTAGAACTGAGGATTAAAAACCTCACTCAAAACCACACAACTACATGGAAAGTGAACACATGGCACATATACCATGGAATACTATGCAGCCATAAAAAAGGATGCGTTCATGTCCTTTGCAGGGACACAGATGAATCTGGAAACCATCATTCTCAGCAAACTAACACAAGAACAGAAAACTAAACACTGCGTGTTCTCACTCATAAGTGGGAGTTGAACGATGAGAATACATGGACACAGAGAGGGCAATATCACACACCAGGGCCTGTCAGCTGGTGGGGGTGGGGGGGAGGTAAGGGAGAGATATCATTAAGAGAAATACCCAATGAAGATGATGGGTTGATGGGTGCAGCATATCACCATGGCACATGTATACCTATGTAACAAAATTGCACGTTCTGCACATGTACCCTAGAACTTAAATTATAATAATATATAAATAAAAAATAAAAAGTATATTAGGAACATTTGTTAATTATAGCTTCATGTATGGTAAACAGAATCATTTTGCAAAGAAACTGTCACTTGCTTTATAAGTGGATTTCTACGTAATTATATAGCAAACTTTCCTATGTTTTTAAAAAATATTAGAAAAACTGGAACTATTCTTTCCCTCTCCTTTTGAAAAATCACACTGAGCAAAGTAACCATAATAATCACAAAGTCTTTGTTCCTACAGGGTGGAGACATATTGTCTTGTTCAAAGTGATCAGGAAAAAATTAACTTGGAATACATATATTCTCTATAAAGGGAAGACATGTAGGAGAAATTGCATTTATGACTCTCTGACATAACACCATTAAGTTATTTTTAAACCTCACCTTGAATTACAAAGGTTGCATACATATTACCATTCTATTTTCCAACCAAATAAACTCACTGATACAAATTGCTATTTTGACCAGATGTGGTAAATCTGATGACGGTCTTGAAAATGATCTTTGAAATCTGTGCCACCAAATTTTAATAATTCATTTTCTGCCTATAACACATTGGCCAGAGGTACATATTATTATTAAGCACATCAAAACAAAATTATTCACAATACGCTTCTTGTGTTTTCTGATCTTTATGGAGTTGTCTACAAAGTTTGTTAATTTGCTGGCTACAAAAGAATAACTTTGCAAGAGGCATTGGGAGAGGATTGGGTAGACTAACTGATATCCACATAGATTTCCATGAATATCTTTCATGGGTGAGTACAATGCATACTGCATATTACTATGTGCCCTTCAGGTAAGTCTGTCTTATTTATGGATACTTGTGATGAGCAGAGTCCGTCCCATCTTAACTATTTTATTTTTTTCCTTCCACTCTAAGCAGTGAAAAGGTGTGAGAAAAGTGATGGAGAGAGACAAAAAATGCTATGTAGACCCTTTTCAATATTTTAGGTGATTATTTTCATTCTGCCCAGCATGGGCTAGGCTCATTCTCTCTGAAGCAGCAGGCTCTGAAGAGATTTGACAGTAGTAAAAAGAAAGGAAATTTTAAAATAAGTACATATCCCTGCTTTCATGGTTTTGATAAGCTTGTAGAAGCTGAGATAAAGGCCAATTTACAGACCCAGGCTGAAACAACAACAAAAAATATGCTGAGTCAAGAGAATTCTCATGCGTCCAAGAGAATACCTGATGGACCAAGATGAAACACAAATGCATATGACTACTTTTGGATGTGAAGACATTTTTTTTTTTTTTTTTTAATTGAGACCAAAGAGGCATTGGGCACAAAGTTTTATCACTGTATCTGTCTATATCAGATATTCTTTACATATACTGAATGCATGCACAGGCCAGAGTTTTCAGGGTTGAAGTGGCATACCCTCCCCTTTGGTGAGTATGACCTCCCAACCACCACACAGCTTATCTTCTAGAGGTGCAAAGTCAGCATGTACACAATACTTCTTATACTGTGCACCCTAATCAGCTCACTCTAGTCTTGCCTGTATGATATAGAGACATGACTTTCAGTAGCTTCTAAAATGATAGTTTTTGATTTTCATTATCATCAAATCACCAAAAATTTGAAGACTACAAAAAATTATAATGAAGAAAATTTAAGTAGCTCAAAATAGCAGAGTAACCATGAACACCCTAAACCTTCTTTATAAAGTGCCTTTTTCAATGCAGTGTTCTCAGTATCACAAATTTGCTATCTTATACCACATGAGTATATGTATGCATGTATATAAACATCAGTATATGTATGCATGTATACATACATGCATACACACAGAGACTTCATAATCCCTATATTCTGTGAGACCACTACAACTGGGACTATTTTTTCTCGGCTTTCCCCACCACTACCACCACTACCTCACTGTTATCATTCTGATGCCATCAAATGTTAGTCAGTACAACGGTGGTCCTCTCTCTTCCTCTCTATGACCCTGAAGAATGACACAGCCCCCAAAATGGAATGGATGAGTTCCTGAGTAACAGCACAGTGGAAAGCTGCTTGCTATAATAAGAGCAATATCACTGGGCTGTTAATGAGTGAGAAACAAGCTTTTATTGTGTTAAGTCACTAAAATTTGGGGGTTGACTATAGAAGCTAATAACATATATGTAGATAATAATAATAGATAATGTTTTACATACAGCAAATAGATAAATATATTAATGAGATATTTATCTATTAAACTCACAGGTCATAATAGGTTTTCTGACTACCTTCCTGTGTGGCTGCCAACAAGGGGAATCCTGGAGTCTCTGCAAATTGGAGGTAATGTCTACAATGTAAGATTATTGTAAGAATTAAAGAGCAGATGTGTCTGGTATAGCACTCTGTGTCTGGTATAAAGAAAGTGTTTGGTATTGGTGCTAATTATTTAAACAAACACAGGAAACAAGTAACAGCCATTTTTAATAAGACAGCTATTGTTTTTCTTGTATTGAGCCAAGGAAACATATTAGCATTCGTTTACTACTTTATATTTTGTACCTCACCTACTTCTCAAGATGATTTGAGTCAGTTGATTTAAAACATGTTTACCAGGAATAAGTGTTGAAGCAATTCATTTATCACTGAAATGGTAAACCTAGCCAAATTTAGGCCATTAATGATGCACTTCTTAAAATTTAAAAAGTGCTTGATATCCATTAAGAAATGAATAAAAGTTTAGTTTGAGGGTGAATGTGGCAATGCTTCTTATTTTAATGTATCTAAAGGAAAATGATGGGAAAACATTCCCATTATCAACTAAGATAAAGAATCAAAGATTTGGTATTTTAAATCAGTAGTAAATGTATACTTTCATTCTTATTTAACAGGTATACAACAGACAAAAACTCATATGAACATTATATAAATATCAGTGACAAAAATATACATCTATTAAACAACAAATGCATTTAACCAAATTTGCAGTTATCTGGTATGTATCAAGTTCCATGCCAAGCATGACAAATGGGCCCAGTTTTTAAGCACAGCATTTTGTATACTAAATCTAGTTTTCCCTGAAAACTTTGATTAAAGCTAACTAGATGAATGGAATTCCATATTAGATGTGGCCACACAAGTGAAGAAGCCAACTGGCAGAAACTTTGTAACTATGAGAGGTAAAATATATAAAGGCCTAGCACACATAGGAAATCAACATGTAATCCTTATTGTCATTTTCAGTACTTTCTGTTCAATAGGCCTCCTTCTAATTACTACTCATACTTACTTCTAAAAAGAAATTGTCATGGACAGAGGTACCAGGACCATATGGTAAATGGAGTTGTTCTTTACACCAAAATAAATTTCTGACTTCCCCAAAGTTAAGCTGTAAATGACAACTTAAACATATTTTACCTACTTCCATTCATGGCATAAATATCACTTAGAATAGCCCTATTTTGTGAATAATTTTTCTGCAAAGAGTAACAGTATCTAGCCTCATCCAAAGCAAAAGAATGCATACAGTTCATTCCATCAAAAACACGGTATTAACAATAGTTAGCTTTAACCTATTCAAGAGAAATTAATAATACAAATATGGTAATACTCTTATGAAAACTTCATATACATCTTGACCCGTGAGCTTTGAAGGCAGAGCGGTTAATGTGCTTTCAGGTCTTAACAAAAAATGGAAAATTCATAGTTTGGAACTAGAATGACTTAGCTAAAGGAAAAATTCATTTTTC